CACAGGCAGGGATCTTCATTACGCATTCCTCATTTCTCCTCTTCACCAATGTCCCTAGTGTCTAGGACAGCGCCTGGCCATCTTAAGGACCCCCAAAAAAAAATGTTTGACAGGTTAAAGAGCTTCTGTGCCAGCTGTAACAAAAATAACAGTATGCCCTTCTCACCCCTCTGCCCTGACACCCTGGTGTCCTGCTGGGGAAGCTTCTGCATTCTAACTCTTGTCTCTGTTGGTCACTTTAGTCACTGACACCCTAAGAGAACTGGAGATCTCCTTCATCTATCAAATTAGCTTTTCTTTCTCGATCAGGTGTAGATTTTTTCCACTTTCATCTGCTTATGGTAATAATTGACACCAAGTACTTTAAATCTTCCCAGCAAGTGGTACCTATCGATAATCTTTCTACTTTAAAAGCATGCTGTTCTGTTTCCCCATCAATTTCAAGATAGCTCAACAGACATTATTTACATTATATACTTCCCTCCCCTTTATGAGGCATTGAGCCCCAAGGGGCAGGACTGTTTAAGATCTAACCTGTGGCAGTTGGTACACATTCCTCTGAGAGCAGAAATCTCCACCACCCTTATCATCATTGAAAGGATGGCCACACTGCATCCTAAGTGTGGCCCAGGAAGTTTGGAACTTGATGGAGAAAGTGTAGCCTCATGTCCACTTATTCCTCAGCCAGACACTCCATTAAATCTCAGCACTCTGGTAGAGTTTTTTTCTTTGAAAATATATAAAAATAATAAGTTCAACACACACACTCATTCCTCTAGAACAGATAGCAATAAAAGAATGTCATGAGACAACAAAACAAGTTTTGTGGACCTCCTTTTCTCTCACTAGCATGATTGATTAGCTCAAGGCCCTTGGAAGGTGGTGCTGTCTTCTTGGTCACCAGCAGGGGGCGGGCTGCTCCCAAGCAGAAGGCTGCAACTGGACCTCTGCTTGACTTTGCAACTGGCCAGGCTACACTGGAGGGTTTCAGTAATTGTTTGACAAGTGGGTATTAACCGGGCTTTCGATTTTGATGAGGAAAGTGAAATTTACCTGAAAAGATTCGTGCTGAACTAAGCCAACCATTTTTTCAGTGACTAATGACAATCTGATCCTTTTTGGAAAATAGATTTAAGTTGACTTTTAGGATTCAAATATACTTGACAATTACTGGCCAACCAGGGGTCACAAATAATCCCCTAAAGCAGGGAGGATAACGCATACACGTTCTCTCAGGCTGTTCCAGCTTATGTGTACATTAACAGAGCCTCCCAGGCATGAATTTGGTGTTTGCAACCTCGTGAGGACACCTGCTTTGCCTGGGCATTTTTAATGGAGACTTAAGACCAGTCCAGGTGGCCTGGGCATCCAGGCAAGTTTCCCATAGTGTCCATCTGCCCCTCTCTGTCAGCCAGAGATGCTGGTGATGATGACAAAGTAGCAAAGCTTGTGATGTGACCTGCAGCTCGTATCCAGGATGCGTGTGCCCCAGGTCACGATGACCCTTGTGAGAGAGAAACACACTCATCACACGTCTGCAGGTGAGCAGAGACAGACCACAGCTTCTGTGCAAGGACACGTGCAGTGAGCAGAGAAGGAATCTGGGCCCTGCAGCTCCTATCCAGGATGCGTGTGCCCCAGGTCACGATGACCCTTGTGAGGGAGAAACACACTCATCACACGTCTGCAGGTGAGCAGAGACAGACCACAGCTTCTGTGCAAGGACATGTGCAGTGAGCAGAGAAGGATTCTGGGCCCAAAACCCCGGCCACTTCCGATGACGCAGACATCTCCAGTTCACTGGAAACTGATCACCACTTAAAGCAAGGACAATCATCCCCTCTTGGCCGGTGGATTACCTATGGGCCAGCACTTGGCCTCGTAAAGGCCATTTGACTCTCTTCCACTCTCTTTCTCCCTTTCTGACTCTTTCCCATTTTCACATATAAACTACAGATACATATCAGAGAAAATTGCTCTTTTTCAGCCATAAAATATGTCAGTAGAGAGACTTCTCCCATTCCACCCTCCCCTGTGCGCGCACACACACACACACACACACACACACGCACACGCGCGTGCGCACGCACACGTACATACACACTTCCTTCCTAAGGACCTTCCTAAGGATGCTACCTCAGACCTTCTGAATCCAAATTTCCAAGGTGTGAGCACAAGAATCTGCAGCATTTAAAAGTCCCTTGGATGACCTTACCAGCAAGCATCTGGCCACTACTTGAGATCATTCCAGAAGGGTTGGAACATTAGCACTAAAACCACTCGTAAAGGATGCAAAGCCAAGGATGCTTGTCTCAGGAACTGATGGTCAAAGATCTAAGCCAGGCCCCAGGCACAAGCCGAGCCCGTCAGGCAGGCCAACAGCAGTGAGAGTCCCTCACTCCCACGGGTGAAGGTCAGAAGCCACAAAAAGTACTGGGACGTGGGGAAGTCGGGGGCAGGGACTCCTGAGAAGCTTCTGGGTGACTCTGCTTTGCCACAAAGGAAGATGGCCCAGGGGTTAGCATCAGTGACAGTCGGGATGATAGGACAGAAAGGGCTGGGCTTTGCAGCTGGAGCCCCATGTGTCCTTACTGGGTCATTTCAGCAGCTCAGGCAGAAGTAGGAGTCCCCAGGTGGCAGTGACAGCAAGCAGAGTCGGGGGTCAGGGCCAGGAGGGTGGTCGTCACTCCGGGGCACCAGGAGGTAGGAGAGAGCCAGAGGCAACGGCCAGGAAGGGCTCTCCCCACAGTCACCAAGGACCTCAGCTGCCTCGGCTCCCACGCCATGGTCCCTTCACAGCATGCGAAATGACACATTTCTCTGGTCAGAATGATGGCTGATGTTGTGCCTCACCTCGGGCCCAGAGCAATGGAGTTCTCCAAACATGGATGAACCTCTGAAACCATAGCCCCAAATAACCTTTTTCTCCTCTAAGTTGCTCTTGCCGGTTATATTGGTCACAGTAGCACAAAGCTGGCTCAGACAGCCTGGTTGCAGGAGCAGAGGGGCTGGAAGGGTGCAACCTGGGACCTGGATTCAGATCCTGCTGCTTGTGGGCCAGTGACCACATTGGGGCTGGGCTTTCTTCCCCTGAGCCAGGTGACGCCAGGCCCTGCCTTTGGGATGCTGCGCTTACTCAACCAAGTGATCTGATAAAACCACGGCCACACAGCACCCTCCTAAGGTCACAGACACGCTGCTACTGCTGGTCCTCCAGCCCTTCCCTCCTGGGCGCAGGATCAGGGCCACTCTAGACTAAGAACGCCACCCACTGGACAGACAGCCAGGGACAGGTCATTAATCCTGCAAGGACCTGCAACTCAACTCTGCCACAACCAGAGGCACTTTGCACACACAGGCAGGACCCCGCTCCAGACCAGAGGCCGTGTGTGCCACTGTGGTTGGTGGGACACCTGCAGGCACTTCCGACACTTAATTTTATGACTTCTATTACTTTCTATAATTCCATACTATCATTTATTTCCTTCTTTTAGGCTTTTATGTTTCATTTTTGCCTTTTCCACTTATTCTATTTTTGTTGCTTAGAAAGAAAAATCTTTCTCTTTCACCAGTGAACCTAGAAATTTAAACATATTAATGTGGAAAAGTCTACTATATGATCTCTCACAGGTTATTCTTCTCCGCCTTGATTTCTAACCAACAAATTAAGTCTCATTTTTACATAACTAGTATTGACTCTGACTCTCTCTTTGCTGAGAGCTGTTCCTTGAAGCCCACGTCTTCCCTCTGAACCTTTCCTATCTTTCTTTTAGAGGGTAGCACTCTTTATCTTGTGGCTGAAAGTCTTCATACTTGAAGATCAACTTTACTTCTCTAGAGTCCTGGGAGTAGGAGTGTGCTTCCAGGACTCTGAAGGTCATGTCCGCTAACACCTTTGGCTAGGAAGTCAGCTGTCAGAATAACTGTGACTTCTGTGCAGATGATCTGTGTTCTTTGCCACTGTCCCTGTAAATGCCATTTGTCCCTCCTGTTCTTTGTCATCTCCTTCTAGAGCTCTAGAGAAGTTGGGGTTTCTCACCTTGGATGCCCTTTCCCCATCCTCCAGGTCCTGGCTCTCTGGCCTGCGGGATTTCTGTGGGATTTCTTCACCCCATCTTTCAGATCACAGTCCCCTCTCCTTGCATCTCATTTCTGTGGAACTCATGAGCTCGTTTCTAACTGCATTAGTTTTTCTAGTAACAGGGGAACGGGGCTAGTTTTCTCCTGTTGTGAGTTTCCTACTTTGGGACCTTCCAGCTTCCTGGAGATTCATATTGTGTACTTTCTCCCAGGTTCAGCTTTCTAAGGTACATTTCCCCCACAGTGGCTCTATTTGGTTCCGTTGGTTCTGGATCGTGTACAAGTCACTCTCTGAGCAGAGCCTGGCTTGAGCCCAGGCAGCTGGTTCCAACCGGCTCGCGTTCTAGCCTGTGTCCACAACTCCAGACACCTTCTTCTCTGTCATCTCCTTGCTCTCATTGCTGTCTCGGTGACAACAGTTGGAGTTCCCCATTTCCCAGGTGCAAGAAGTAAGGAAAACAAGATGTAGAATGAAGTTTTCAAGGAAGGACTGTGGAGTCCCACAGACTCTCCAACTGACTGGTAGTGAGCCATTTATTCGATTCGTCTGACCTCAAAGTGAAATGAAGACTGGTGTACTCGTTTCACCCGTGGCAGAGTGTCTGCTGAGATGCACATGTGAGCACTGGTCACCACGCCTGGTGCTAGTCCCCAGGGAGGTGCCATTCCTCACAGTGATGAGAGGACAGAGGGAGGGCTGTGCACTGTAGTCCTGTTATCAGCTTGTCGCCTCGTGCCAAGAACATGTGTCTGGCGTGTGTCCAGAGGTGGCCAGCCCCGGTCAGGCCAGGGGATGTCCCAGCTTCTGGGACCTTTAGGCACCCCTGTCTTTAAAGGGTTTTTGCACACTGGAATTTCAAGAAGCTGAGACCCCGATGCCGGTCAGAGACCGAGTTTGACTTCCTCTGTCTACCCACCAGGCCTACAGGGTGGATGAGAGAGCCGCAGAGCACGCGCGCTGGGAAGAGGCCTCCAAGGAAACCATCAAGAGGACCACCAAGCCGTGCCCTCACTGTGGGGTGCCCGTGGAAAAGAATGGTGAGTGTGCGCTGGCGGGGAAGGATGTCCTGTGCCCTTGCTGCACGGCTGCGCCCTCGGGGCTCTGGGAGGCGCGCGCCCCGCGTCCCTGCCCCGTCCATCCTGGAGGTGGCGCCTTCCATTGAGAGCCCTGGCAGCAGCGCCCTGGAGCCCCTTCTAGACGCGCCGCTTCTGCCAGTGGCCGCCCCCAGCGCGAGCCCAGGCGAACACCAAGCCCAGGCGCGGCTTCCCCACGGCCGCTCTGAGCGGCGGCTGCGCCCTGGTGGGTAGCTGGCACACCCGGGGGCACTCGGTCCCCCTGCCCCAGCTGTCGCTCAGCAAGCACATGCCACCCAGCTCAGCGGCAGGAGCGGCGCAGCGCCGGCCAGGTTCCCACCGCGAGCAGCGGAGTCCTGCAGAACTCAGCCCCAGCCTGGACCATTCCCTGTCGGCAGGACGCGTGGGACGGGGAGGACCTGCGGGTCCGGCCCACCTCCCCTAGGCTGCCCGCGGGCACTGGGAACGCAAGGGAAACAAGGGGCGAGGCCTTCACGGGAGGGGAGGTGGTGGCTATTGAGGGACAGGGCCAGCACTCAGAGGCGCAGGGATTTTTTAAACGAATTCAATGCTGAGGCCATTTTGCTAGGATTAAAGAACTTTTGTGTACATTTTGTTGTTGTTTTGTTTTTAATATAATCCTCAAAATTGGCAAATTCCAGACTTTTCTGGAAACCACTTGGCAATACACATATGTAAAGAAATTAGAGTATCTCTGTTCTTTGACCCAATAACCCTAGTTCTGGAAATCTATACTAAAAATACATATGCACAGGTACACATACATACCACATACATGCATGCAGGTACCACATATCCATGTGTATAAGCATGTGGGATGTGTGTATGTGTATGTATATATGAGTGTGTATTTGTGTTATGTGTATATGTGCAAGATATTGTACATGTGTGTTTGTGGTGTATGCGAATATGTGTATGCATGTGTATGTGTTTGCAGTGTCTGTATATGGTATATTTTATGTGGGGTGTGTGTCTGTGTGCTGTGCATGTGTATGATGTATGTGGTATGCATGTATATGCTTATGGTCTGCAGTGCAGGTATGTGCATGTGTATGTGTTGTGTGAACCTGTGTTGTGTGGGTTGTATGTGTGCATATGTATATGCATATATGTCCATGTATGTGGTGTATCTATAAATGTGTATATGGTGTGGGTGGGTGTATGTATGAACGTGTATTCGTGATATGTATATGTACATGGGGTATGTGGTGGTATGTGTGCATGTATGTGTGTGTGTATTTGTGTATATGGTATATGATGTGTGTGTGATGTGTATGTGGTGTGTTTATGTTTGTATATGCATTGTGTATATTTTTGGGGTATGTGTATGTATGTGGTATATATGTGCATGTATCTTATATGTGTATGCATGTCATGCAAACACATGAATATGTGTATGAGTATGCATGTATGTACGCTGTTGTGCATGTATATATGTGATGTGTCTTTGTGATGTGTTTGCATGTCTACTGTGTGTATATAGATCAGTAGTGTATATATTATGTGTTTGCAAGCATGTATATATGTATGTGGTATGCATGTGATGTGTTCATGGTATTATAAATGTGATGTGTGTGTATAGATGTGGGAATGTATATCTGTATGTGTTTTATGTGCATATATATTGTGTTTATGTAATGTATATGCATGTGGTATGTGCTTTTGGTGTATCAATACATTATGTAAGCTTGGGATATATGTGCTGTGTGTATATATGTGTGAACATGGGGGCACATTCACATACACCACATGTAGAAACACACCTTACAGATATATGCATTTATGTACATGCACATACCACATACACATACACATAGTACATATACATACACACATGCACAGACACCACATATACACCACATGCATACACACATATTTATACTCATACACCACAGACATACAAATGTACACACAACACATATATGCCACACATGCACATACACCACATACATACTCAACTATACATACACACATGCACCTACATACATACCACATACATACACAGTATATGTACCACAAAACATACACACCACAAACACATACACCCTTACTCAACACACACCCATATGTACAAACACCACATACATGCATATGTACACTACATGCATCCATGCATGCATACACCACTCATATACAAATAGACATATATATCCATATTATGTATGCACATACACATCAGCACACACACTACATGCATACCCATATGCACATATATACCAAAAGCACAGTCATACACAGCCACATACACACATGCATATGTACACATATCACATATATGAACACTCTTGTCACATCACACACATACACACATGCCACATATATGTACTCATCCCCAAACATACACAGTACACAATGCACAGAACATGTATATAGAAATACAAATGCCACAAATCTACATAGACCACACACACACTGCACATACATATACACCACATACAACACATAGGCATGTTCATACACTTGTATACACTCGTGTCACATACATAGACACATGTGTCCACGTGCCACATGTATGTCACATGCACACGTACACATATACATGCTTATACATACCACATGCATACGCACATGCTCATATACCACATCCAAACACATATTGCATACATACACTGAACACATAGGCATACATCCATACACCACACATGCACAAACATACACATATACATGATTATACATACATATACATGCCCATACACACACCACATGCATACACACATGCACATATATACCACATATAGACATGCATACCACATGCATACATACTCCACAAAACACACACATACATGCATATACATGCCCATGTATCCATACATATGCCCAAACACACACCGCATACATACACATATGTATACATATACCACATTAAGCACACCAGATACATAGCAAAAATACACATCCACATGCATGTATGCATGCAATGCCATACATGCACATTTATGCACATGCACTCATGCATAGCACACACATCACACATAACATGCACATACTACACCTGCAAACACACAGGCATGCCACATACACATATGCCAGACACATGCAAAACATATACCACCAACATAGACATTCACAAGACATGCATTAAAACACATGCCACACATATGCACATACATGCACAGTGCATACACACATGCTGCAGATACATGCACATGCACACCACATACATGCACATACGCGTGTGCACACACCACCTGAAAATACACTACACATAAAAAAAAACATAAACAGAGGCACCCATATAACACGTACATAGACACATTTACATACCACATATCCATACACACATGCGTGCCCATGTTAGGCAAAAACTGCTAATTGCAGTATCATTTATGTTAGGAAAAACCCAGAGTCCTCTAACTGTGGCCTCAGAATGAGAAAGCTTGGTTTGCCATTGCCCCTCCCTGCTGTACCACAGGGGCGGAGAACACAGACTCTGGGTTCCCAGGGGCCTTTTGGGGTCTGGGTCTGCTGTGTACTGTGTGGCCTTCTGGGCCTCATTGTCCTCGTCTGTGTCGTGGGTTTATACTAGAACTTGCCCAAGGGAGGGGTGCTTTAACTTCTTAGCGAGAGCCCCGTTGCTCTAGTGTTAATCACTGCAGTGAAGCCAAGGGTGAAGCTTCGTTGCCGAGGTCTCCTCTAGGTCTGCCCACATTCAGCAGAATCTTAGGAAGCAGCTCTCCTTCGGTGACACTGACAGGAGAGCCGTTTCCATGTAAATGTAGACAGAGTGACATTTACACTCTGGGCACCTGCTCCTGGGACACCCTGTAGGCCCCAGAAATGTCCTTGCTTACTCTGTCTCTCCAGACGGGGCTCTGGCTCCGTTCTCTGACCAGCGATTGCCTGTTGGTACATTTGCTTTCAAGTGGCTCCGGAGCTTCAGTTCACTCATTAGAACCCAGAGGAGGAGCCGCTGGCCAGAGCAGGGACAGCACCTGCAGGGGGCTGGGGACAGTCAGTGGACAGGACTCACTAGGAGGAGGCTGTGGTCCCTTCATACCAATATCTCAAATCTGTGTGCACCTGTCAGCAGCTCCCAGCTGGTATTTATGACCATGTGTCACCTGCCAACAGGGGCTGTTCTGAGAAGTGTCTTCAGACCACTTTGTCATTGTGTGAACACCCTGAGCGCACCTTCTCAAACCTAGACAGTGTAGGTCAGCCGCAGGAGGCCTTGGCTGCTTTATAGTAAGCAGGAAAGCGCTACTAATGCCAACCCCTCCTCCACTTCCTGCCCTGCTCTGTCTGCCGTTGTGATTCTGTTTCTATGGTAAAATGTGATTTGTTACGCTAGGATTCTGGTGCATTAACATTTTGATGTAATAGGAAAACATTCTTATTGTCATTTAGAATTACTTTAATTCACTGAGTTTTAATATATCGCTCAATATTCTATTTGATATTTTGGAGAAACCAAGTGGTTTTAAAACACCACACTATTTTATTGGATTATTTACATCATAAGGGACAATCATTAAATATGTGTTGAAATGGCACTCTCCAAAATGGGAAGTATTAAGATAAAAATGTCATCAATAAGTTATCTGATTATTTTTTTCTAAGGTAAATTCTATTTATTTTTATATGCAATTTTTATGATCTTTGAAACAAACTAAAAAAAGCAGAAAGTAGAGGATTTAAATGTATCCAAGTTATCCTAGGGTAAATGCCTGTGTCTACATATTCATACATATTTTCAATTAGTGGAAGTTCTCAAACTAGTTTTCTAGGAAAAATGAGACAATACTGAAGCAATTACGTGGCCATTAGTGGGCGAACAGAGACACTTACAAAATAATTGGTAAATTGAAGAACGGAGTGCTCAATGCCTAGCAGAAACACTGCGCGGCTCCCTTGTCCAGGAAATCAGTGCGCAGCCGTGGTCTCTGTGCAAGGCTGCACGCACACGGCCCGTTCCATCTGAGGCAGAGCTGGTTTCTGCTCCCCAGAGCCAACAGAGACAGCATTTAACACCTGGGGGAGCCAGGCATCCCAGAGTAGGACCCAGAGAAGAGGCAGAGGAGGCAGGCCCCGCTCCAAAACCAACCGGAACCTCACGGACCTCGGTTAATCCCAAGCAGCAATGGTGAAAAGCACTTCGCCTTGAGCAAAGTCTACAACCAAGTTATCCCCTGAGTTTTTGGGCACTAAATGAGTCATCAGACCCCTCGCTAGCTCCTTTGTGTCCTTCTCGTCCTGAATTAAATTTAGAATGGCATTAAGGGACGTATTCCCTGTTAGAAGCAGTATACTGTTCCAATTCCTGTTTTATGAATTTTGACAAGCTAAGTGTCTCCAAAGAAATGACAGAAGTAATCATAACATATTACCATATGTTAAATTATTAAGTGCATTTAATGTATTTAAAACATTGAATTCAATATATATTTAAATTCATTTAAATGAGGAATTGACTGTGAAACACAAAGCACTTGTCTCTAAATCCCCTTTCAGGAAGAGCAGAGAAGCTCAGATTTACACATAAAATTTGCCGTGGGTGAAGGGGTGCCCTTTTCTTTGCCTCCTCAAGAGCGTCCCAGCTACGGGGTAAAAACGGGAGTTCATAATCCGTTTGAATCAAATGTATGACATATGTCAAGAGCTTTGTAATGTTTTGAACAACCAATAAAAAAAAGAAAAAAAAACAAAAGTGCGTCCCAACGTCAGAGCGCCCTCCCTGAGAAGGGACCCCGGGACTGGCCTGTGGCCTGGGGTGTGTCCTCCAGGCTGCTGCAGACCCACCATGGCTTGTCCTTTGTCGCCCGCAGGAGGATGCATGCACATGAAGTGTCCGCAGCCCCAGTGCCGGCTCGAGTGGTGTTGGAACTGCGGCTGCGAGTGGAACCGCACCTGCATGGGCGACCACTGGTTCGACGTGTAGCAGGCGCCGTGGGCACTGGGCCCTGGCCACGCCCTCCTCTCGGAAGCACCCAGCGCCCTGCCTTCATCGTCTAGTTCACGTTTCTCTAAACACATCTCACACACATACACACACTCACACACACACACACACACTCACACACACACACACACACACACACACACACACACTCACACACGAGAACACAGGCTTCAAGGTCTCTCCACGATCACAAAAGCAAAATGATAGAGAAAGCTGCTGGATCTCTTTTACTACATCCATGAAAAACAGCAGAGCCAATCCCAACACCAGCAAGAGGTATTTCCAGGCCTTAGAACTACGCCCAGAGTAAACTGCAGCCCGTCTGTTCTGAACAGATCCTTCTTGCGTGGATTCAAGTCAGGCTGGCTCGCACAGGGAGCCAGTCTCCAGATTCGTTTCCTGCATTGTACTTTCAACCAACACGGTGGAGGAGCCCCTGGCAAGGTGGGGACAGCTCCTGGGGACTGTCGCCTGAGGGGCCTCTGCAAGGTGGACTGAGGGACTCTCAGAACTGAGTTCCTGGCTTTCAGAGCAACATTCAACATTTAACTTTTCAGAGAGCAGGCAGTCCTCAAAAAACCCCAGGCAGTAGTAAAAGATATGTGTTTATCCCTAAGAATTCTATCTTTATAAATTGTGCTGATGAAATATCAACTATGCACAAATCAGCTTGTCAACTAAGTGAGAAATTATGAAAGCCAATTTGAATGTTGAATGTTTAAATCACAGGGAAGAAAGCAACACTTAATGTGCTTTCATTCCATTTAATTATTTGCTACTTTAGAAAGAAATCGCTTATCTGAAAATATTACAAAATCTATCGTTTGATTTTTAAGTATTCATTTTGCAGCTTGGAAATTAGCTTGTGCATTTGGCATTACTGTAAATTTAATGAATAAAGGGCTATAAAGGAGACATTTTCAAAAACCATTTCATAGTGATATTGAATGCTAACAAAAGTGCAGGTTATTAAGTAGAATCTTTAAAGAAAGAGCCTTTCCAAGGCGTCCAGATGAAAGCATTTCTGACCCTCTTCATGAGAAGGGTGCAGGCCCCATGCGTCCCCACTCTCCCTCCACTGCTGCCCCAGGGAGCCATGCATGGGCGGCCGGCTCCCGCAAGGAGAGTTCTTTGCGTAGGACAATAAACTCACTTATTCCTCAGGTTACCTGCATCAAATTTGAGTGTTGGTCAGATTTTCAACTTTTCTCTTTTGGAGGCAATGCAACACATCAAAAAAAATTTTTTTTTCTCTAGATACTGTGAGACACATTTCCTATGGCAAAAATGGAGGTGAGAAAACACAAGAGCTGCCTGTCGACAGCTCCTCGGGAAGACCATGAATGTACCTGAGGGCAAAGGAGTGCTGGCACAGGGAGGCCCTTCTGGGTTTGGGGAGCTGGAAATTCTAAACTGGTCACCAGTCCTCTCCTCCTAGGTGGCTCTCTGTGGTCCTTCCGAGGTCACGACCCGAGGAGCTTCTTTCATGCTCCAGGGAGCATTCTGCCCTCCACCCCTCGCGGGTACTGTGCCGGGACAAGACAGGGCAATGACGTCCATGTGCACAGCTGCTCCAGCATGTTCAAGCCACAGGGAGGTCCGTGGCCGTGCTGAGCCCCGACCACAATCAGGACACATGTCACTGACAATCCCAGCCAATTGCAGCTCCTTGCGCCAACTCAGGGTGACACCCCAGATGGCATCGCCTGTCCTGTGGCACATGGGGCACTTTGTATCAGTCTTAGCTTTTTCTTTGTGATGCTCTCATTATTGCTTCTTCCAAATCCACGTAGTGTGTTGGGTTTGCCACCGCGAGTTGCAGGTACCGTAGCAGCCCCTGGAGCTGTTCAGCTGTCAAGCATGGTCTCCTTTGTGGTTATTTTTTTTTCCAGAATAGAATAGTGATTCTTAAAATAACTTAAAGGAAAAATAGGCACTGAGTATGAACATGAATCACAATATTATTTGAACACGAATACTGTAATAAAATATAGCACAAGAATGGAAGTAAGATCTTTGCAAAAAAAATCTTTATTTTTCTCTGAAATGTGTTAAGAAATATCTGACAGGTATGTCTACAAGTGTGCTTAATTGTCAATAAAAGTATCCTAAGAGCTCTTGGGTCTGTCTTTGAGGGTATGTTTTGCACAGCTGGGGAGGTAAGGGAGGAAGTACAGATTGTGTGTGGGGGGGGTTTTTTTGTTGTTGTTGTTGTTTTTGGTACCAGGGATTGAACCCAGGGGCACTTAAGCATTGAGCCAAATACCCAGACTTTTTATTTATTCATTCATTCTAATTAGGCATGTATGACAGCAGAATGCATTTTGATTCATTATACACAATTGTAGCACTTTTCATTTCTCTGGTTGTACAGGAGGTAGCATCACACTAGATGTGCAGTCACACATCACCTAGGGCAATGATGTCCCTCTTATCCCACCATTTTTTATATTTTATTTAGAGGCAGGGTCTTGCTGAGTTGCTTAGGGTCTCGCTACATCGCTGAGGTTAGCTTTGAATTTGTGATCCTCCTGCCTTAGCCTCCCAAACTGCTGGGATTACAGGTGTGCACCACCGCGCCTGGCATTAGGCAGCATTTTTGAGGGTTACTATCGAGCATAAAATCTTCACTCAGTACTTTTCCCTGTTAAGTTTCTTTGCATTATTTTTTTATAATAAAATAATTGTTACTTATTAATGCACATTTCAGAAGCTAAAAAAGGTGAAAAGGAGAATAAAAACCATCTAGAAATAATTATTTTGCTTCTTATTTGCACTGAGGAATGCATGGTATCAATGGGCTCCTAAAATGCGCATTTGGGGGGCTTCATCATGGCCTGCACTGTATGCTAATTAATGAGTTTCTTTTAAATTTTCAAACCCAATATAACCATTCACAAGTAATGCAGTTATTAAACAGTATAGATGTGGAAACGATTGTGTGACATGCACAAACGTTTACTGGGGCTGAGGGTTTGGCCCAGTGGAGAGTATTGGCCTAGCCTGTGCAAGGCCCTTGGTTGGATCCCCAGCGTTGGGAAAAAGGAGGAAAAGAACGGAAACGTTTACAATAGAATGTTGAATGGAAAGCAGTATCAAAATTGCATGTTCACTATAATTGCAATTATGCAAAAATAAATAAATTCCAAGAAGTAAACAACTGGAGGACTGCTGTGGTCAAACTGTGTCGCCCCAAAGTCATAGGGTGAAACGCTGCCCAAGGTGACAGTGTAGGAAGGGGCCTTGGGGGATGAAGTCATGGGGATGGAGCCCTCCCGAATGGAAATAGTGGCTGAGAGATCCCTCACCCTTCACCATGTGGGACCAGGTGAGAAGACACCACCTGTGAAACAGGAAATGGACCCTTGCCAGACTGGGAGCCTGCCAGCACCTTGATGTTGGACTTCCAGCTTCCAGAACCAAGAAATAACCTTCTGCTGTGTGAAAGAAGCCCAGTTTGTGGAATTTTGTTACAGCAGCCTCATGCACTAAGACGGGGGATGCATTTCAATAGAGTCTGCTCTGTTGATGAAACTCTACATCAGCTTGACTCATCTCTGCTCTTCAGGGTTTGGGGCAGAGGAATGTTACCAGGTGACTCTGGCAAGGATGGAGTATGAGGGATGAGTTGAAGTGACTTTCTAGCAGATGCCCTGTTCTTCCAGCCCTGGCATGAACATGGCACTTCTGATTCAGCCTGTAGAGAGGCTGAGATAGGAATATAGGATACAGAGGAAAAGACCGCTGGGTCTCAGGGGAGAAGCAGCTGGGAGCGTGACTGGGAACGTGAACATGTGCTCCTTACCTTCCTCAGTAAACCTCTGCCTCATGCTCTGGAGTGTGCTGCGATTCTTCTCCATCACACACATCGGGGACCCCATGGTCCCCAGTAGAGTCCCCTCTCAAGGCCTCCTTGAACACTCCTCCAGTGACAAGGCCACCACCTTCCTGCTTTGCCCAGGCCTGAGAGGGTTCCCCGCACGAGGGATGGGGGACTTCCAGTTTTAAAACCACAAAAGCCAGAATCAGTGGCTGTTCCTGTTGCCTGTGATTCCGGTTACTCAGGAGGCTGAGGCAGGAGGATGGAGGCCAGCCTTGGCAACTTAGCAAGACCCCCCTCAAAATAAAGAATAACAAGGGCTGGTGCAGCAGAGTGCATCTGCGTTCAGTCCCCAGCAATGGGGGGCTGTGGGAGAGAGAAAGAAAGAGAAAGGGAGGAAGGGAAGGGAAGGGAAGGAAGGAGGGAGGGAGGGAGGGGAAGGGAAAGGAAGAGGGAGAAGGAAGGAAGGGAAGGGAGGGAAGGGAGGAGGAAGGAAGGGGAAGGGAAAGGAAGGGAGGAAGGAAGGGAGGGAGGGAGGAGGAAGGAAGGACAGACGGACGAGCTGGCCACCCTGTCTGTGAGTAGCCATCCCCAAGCAGCAGCGGGCCTTACTGGCCTCTCAGCCTCCTTGGGCTAACCTTGGCCTCTTAGGCTTGAGAACGTCCTCCACGCGCATCCCCTGGGCCTCCTGCAAGCTGACCTGATCCAGAGGCTGACGGCTCTGATGTCATCGATTCCCAAAAGAGTTGGGCCGCTCAGAACAGGATCAGTAGGAAGCCTGGCAAGCTCCAGATGCTCCCAAGGGACTGTCACTCGGTACTTAGGAACTGCCTCTCTCACCAGCACCTGGCTTTGTTTCCAGGACCATTGCTCATGCAGGCTGGACACCCTGACCGCCCAGGTGTGCTGAGGACTTGTCCAGCCCGCTCTCCTGCAGTGAGCTGTTGGCTCCCCCACACCTCGGCCCACTCCCACTCCCTCTCCTCCCTTATCTCCCTCAGAAGCCTTCCACCAACCCATGCAAGGTCCTCTTCCCCAACCCTGGCATGCACGGGTAGGTATCTGCACGAATCTACGCTGGGCTGTGTGCAGGGCTCCGGGTCTCCCCCACTGGCACGGTAGGTCCACGAGGGCGGCTGGTGGCTGTCTCTCTGTTGGTTTCATGGATGACTAGAGAACAGCTATTGGTCATCAGCTGAGGCGCTCACTGCCCCCACCTCAAATCTAGGAAAGTATGGAGAGTTGCTGCATCAGGAGGACAGGCACGGACACCGAGTGCTGTGGCCCTGGCTCTTCCTCTCAGCAGGGATTATCCAAGCCGCCTGTTTTCATCTTCTTGCCATCAATTCCTGCTTAAAGTTCCAGGTGACGTTCTCCAGTCTCCAGGTCTTCTCGTTCTTTTGCTCTTGGTGGCTCAAACATTAGTGACAGCAGGTCCCTGAGTTGATTCAGTGCTCGTGGCCACTTTAGGAAGAATGGGAGGCACACAGCCCCCCAACAGGTGACTCCCCCTAACTGGAGTTACTACTAAAAAGCATCAGTACAACCGTTCTTTCCAGTTTCAGGTGTTTGGAACAAGAACTCTGAACACCAGGGAAAGAGCAGGGGTTGGGATTCAGAGACAGGCGGTGATCACCACGTGGTGGAGAGTAAGAGTGACCGTGTCATCTTGTTTTGGGTGGTGCTGGAGATCACTCCGCCCTCCCAGGGAGAGGAAGTAACTGTAGACACGGCTCATTTTTCCTGGGGTCCTCCACACACTGAGAAGCACCTCACACGTGGCCTGACGGCTGCTGTCCCCAAGTGGTTCATCATGAACGGCCCACCCCCCGCCACACCAGCCACCTGGTGCAAGCCACCAGGATTCTCCATCTGCTCAGCAGGTTCGTTGAGGGGCCTGTGAAAGAACAGGTTAGAAGGTGACCGAAATGGGTTTTGTGATTCCCAAACCTATTTTCTAGGAACAGCAAAATGTTATTTGACGGCTTGCCCAGCTTATTTTATCCTGGCCCCATGGTGATCCTCATGGCTAGAAAAGCATTATGGACATGACAATCACAGAGCTGGCCATGACCACGCTGGGGATCCGTGCTGGTCTGCAAATGCTCTGGAGAGAGCCTTGTCAGGCCAAGAACCCTAGAGCTCTGTGGACTAACAAGTCCAGCAGCCAAGGCCCGTACCAAGGACCAGTCACACTCCTGTAGAGGGCCAGGAGTAGATAACCCAGCCTTTGCTGGCCATAGGACTGTGTCCAAACCACTCACCTCTAGCTTTGCAGAGTGGAAACAACCAGAGGCAGCGCACAAGGGAACGCACACGGAACTCACTGGTCTCTGTCCCTCTGCAATGTTACCAAATATGGGCAGCGGTCAGAATGGCCCAATGATTGCTGGAGTTTGTCTACCCATATTACGTGAACTGAAAATGGGCTGGGGTGTGGCCCAGTGCCACAGCACTTGCCTGACACGCCTAAGGACCCGGGTTCCTTTCCCAGCACTGCAGAAAGTACCATTATTTTGAAATAACTGAAAAGCTTAATGGAGTCAGATATGAAGTCATGTGAAATGGGAAGCACTAATACTTTTCAGACTAACATTATGTATTCAACATATAATCACAGGGTTCTGAATAGGTTGGCTGCCGGGGCTGTAAAAATAAAGACAGGTTTTCTCTGCTCAGGATGCTCACAAAGCTGCTGGGCAGCTGGTGTGGGAGAAGTGACACGAGGCAGATGGATGCAGGGGCACACGCCTGCAACCCCGGTGACTCAGGAAGCTGAGGCAGGAGGGTCAGAAGTTCAAGGCCAGCCTGGGCAACTTAGGGAGAACCTGTCTCAAAAGAAAAACTAAAAAGAGCTGGGGATGTAGCTCAGTGGTAGAGGGTCCCGTGCCCAATCCCCAGTGTCACAAGGGGAAAAAGAAAGGAGTGAGCTCATGCCAAGGGGGAGCATGCCGTGTCCCCTGGCATAGCCACAGCCCTCCTGTGGGGGCCTGGGAATGGGAGGTGTCGGGCCACAGGCAGCAGAGGACGTGGCTACCGGATAGCTCCGAATCTGTGCAGCAGAGTTCCACTCTCTGATGGGTTATGGGAAGCCACTGAGGGAATTTAAGGAAGGAAAGGACACATCAAATCTGTGTCTTAGGAAGCTCCCTCTGTAGGGAACGGCTGGAAGGGGAGCGAGGCCACAGCAGGAGAGCGTGGCAAAAGCTTTCTATAAAGTCCAGGAGAGAGACTCGCGGCCAGAGCTAGGGCGGTGGCATGGCCACAGGAAGAAGGAAGGAGTATGTATTTAAGCACTG